CCCCGAAACCCTGTTTCCCCAAGGTTCTCCCAACTCACCCACTTGAGGGCAGGGGGAAGAGATGCGAGCAGAGAAGTGCCTACTGGATGAATAATTACACACCGAATTAAAACCCTGCATTAAACGTCGTCGACAGCAAACACTGCATTCTCAATCATGTTTATTGCTTACAAATTGCATTACAAAGAAATCTACTCTTTTTATTGGAGTGATTAAGCAGAGTGTGAGGGCTGCAGAAGTACCATTCTGAAAGATTAGATGGAGGCAGACATCCCGGCTAGTTACACGGCCGCGGTGACTCTGTATAATTTTGTTAGAGAACACATTTAACACACAGATGAGGATTGGACTGTCATTATGGCATCATAAAAGAATCAACTTAAAATTATATTTATTTATAAACACATTGCCTATAAAACATTCATATTTAATACAAAGGAACTAGGCAATTCCGTAATCAATATTTTCATTACTCAAATTTTATGATAGCCACACAATTCTATATGACACGTCACGATTCTATAGTTTCTCTATACTCTCCTCCTCCTTATCATGCGAGCTAAAATCTTGTTTTCTTTAATTCTGGGGTGAACAGGTTGGTGAAAGAAGGGTTTGCCTGTGGTGCCACCTGCAGGGCTCCATGAAAATAAGTGTCAATACTGCAATCCTCTCAGGCTCTAGAAATGTAACCTCAGGCTTCTTTTCTTAAAAATATATTTATTTATTTATTTATTTATTTATTTTATTTTTTATATATTTTTATTGATTTCAGAGAGGAAGGGAGAAGGAGAGTTAGAAACATCAATGATGAGAGAGAATCATTGATTGGTTGCCTCCTGCACGCCCCGCACTGGGGATCGAGCCCACAACCCAGGCATGTGCCCTTGGCCGGAATCGAACCTGGGACCCTTCAGTCCGCAGGCTGATGCTCTATCCAGTGAGCCAAGCCAGCTAGGGCTAAAAAATATTTTTTAAAAAATATATTCTTACTGATTTTAGAGAGGAAGGGAGAGGGATGGAGAGATAGAAACATCAACGATGAGAGAGAATCATTGATTGGTTGCCTCCTGCACGCCCCGCACTGGGGATCGAGCCCACAACCCAGGTATGTGCCCTTGGCCGGAATCAAACCTGGGATCCTTCAGTCCACAGGCCGATGCTCTTTCCACTGAGCCAAACCGGCTAGGCTAGGGCAACCTCAGGCTTCTTTTAGCAATTTAATTAAATCAATATTTGCTTTGAAATAGATGATGACAATTTCAAGAAAAATCCTGGAATTTGAAAACTATGCTTAAGTCAAAAAATAAGATGATGTACTGATCATAGTTGAAACTTTGGGGCTTCTGAATGTTCCAAGAGCACAGAAAAAGATTTGTCTAAGGGATAATTTATTCTTGAAATAATGGAATAAAAGATGCCATATTCCTGGTTTATCACTTGGTCCTTGGGCAGCCCTTAAGAGCTGAGAAGCACTTGGCGAGCTAATGACACCCGCAATGGCAGTGACTAAGCTTCCTCTCGGATGCCCGGCGTCAGGGCGGGTCACGGGAGCCGACCAGCTCATTCTCCAAGCCTGTATTTTACACCATTTGGGGAGAGGGTTAAGTGTTCTTTGCCAAAGTTCAACAGCCTGCCCCTTCAACCTGTGTCATCAGAAGGAGATTTCGGAAATTGGAAGTGTGACGATTAAATACAGTTACTGGTATTAGCGAATGCTTCTTACAGAGTCAGAGGTTTCGATTTTCCTCACAACAGGCTGAATTGATGATGATCATGTAACTTAAAATTCATTGGACACAAAATATGCTGAAAAGAGAGGCCTAACGCTGTGCTCAGAATTTTAAACGTGATACGTCTCAGGGTGCTGCGTCAGAGGGTGACTGCTGGCCTTCCTGCTGTGCTGGGGGCGTTTCCTCTTGTCTGGGGGGCAGTCAGGATGGAGGGAGGCAGACCTCCTCAGGTCCTTGGTTGGTGGAGAACCTCAATTGTGTGTTTGGGAATTCTCTGTGGTCAGATGACAAGTAGTACAAAGATATTCAACAAAAGTTGGAAGGGCCCAGCTGGTGTGCTCAGTGGTTGAGTGGTGACCCATGAACCAAAAGGTCTCAGGTGCGATTCCTAGTCGGGCACATGACTGTGTTTTGGGCTCAATCTCCAATAGGGGGACATGCTGTGGTAGCCAATTAATGTTCCTATCTCATCGGTGTTTCTATCTTTCTATACCTCTCCCTTCTGCATTCTTTCTCTAAAACAAAACAAAAGAGTCAAAGGGGCCCTGGCCAGGTGGCTCGGTTGGTTGGAGCATTGTACGGTGCACCAAAAGGTTGCAGGTTCTATTCCAGGTCAGGGAACATACCTAGGTTATGGGTTCAATCCCTGGTCAGGGCACATGGAAGGCAACCAATCCATGTTTCTCTCACATCTATGTATCTCTCTCTCTCCCCCCCTCCCTTTCTCTCTCTCTAAAAATCAATAAACACATATCCTCAGGTGAGGCTTAACATAAAAAAAAAAAAAGTTGGAAGGAAAATATTCCTCTGCTATCTTTTTTTAGTAGAAATAACATTTACTCTTTTGTTACCTTCTGTATTTTGAACCATGTGAATGCATCATTAAAAGCTAATTTGCAATTAAAGAGAGCAACTTAGGTCTTATGAAATTGAGTTTATGTAACACTAGAGGCCCGGTGCACGAAATTTGCGCACTCAGGGCGGAGGGGTGGGGGGGAGTCCCTCAGCCCGGTCTGTGCCCTCTTGCAGTCCAGGAGCCCTCAGGGGATGTCCGACTGCTGGCTTAGAACCAGGTAGGTATTGAGCATCTGCCCCCTGGTGGTCAGTGCGCATCATAGTGACCAGTCGGTCTGCTGATTGTTCGATTTGCATATTAGCCTTTTATTATATAGGATACTCAAAGAGAAAAGTAATGATGTCCAATATGAACTGTGAAAGAATAGAAAACATTTTTAGAGCCTGTAATAAGAGAAATCCCCAGGTATAGTTTGTTCACTAGGAAAGAAGTCAGCCAGGGTAATTCTAGCTTCAAAGAGGAATGTCTTTTGGAGGTTTATCTCAAGTACCTTCCTTCTCTCCCTCCTCCCACTTCCCTCCTCCCCTCCCTTCCTCACTCCCTTCTCTTAGTCTTGTCCTTTTCTTTTTCTCCCTCTACTCCCTCGCCTTTTTCTCTTTCTCATCTGGATGGAATGATGCAAGTCCCCTTCATTTTAGAACCTCCTAATACATGCAGCGTAGAGCACAGTTAGACACAGTCATCAAAACAACACATTTTTGAGTTAAAAATTTTTCTTTATTAATAAAGCAAATTGCTAGCAATTCAATTCTGAAAAACTAAATATGAGTCTTTATTCATCAGATTTTCAGAAATATAACGTTAACATGTTTTCAAAGAGTTCTACTTTGTTCTAGGACTCCAAACATATTTAAAATCAATGCATTTCAGAAAAACAAGCAAACCGTTTCCTAAGGTGTGTGGGAGAAACGGGACGGGGTGGCTGAAGCAGGGATGGTGAGTGTGCTCGCTCAGATTCAGATTTGCAAAGTTCGGTGAGGACAGAGCTGCTCAGGGCAGTGGCTGCAGTTCTTACTGGTCTTGCCCTTTTATTTGTCCTCATAAATAACACCGCTTTGCTTTTCCATATTTTACAGTCTTTCTCCCAATATTAGGCTATTTTCTTCTAATAATAGTAAAAACAATCATAGTACTAGAAGGAACTACTTACCAAGTTCCTTTTCTGGGCCGGCTCAGTGGGGCCACCCTGGGGGAGGGGCGTCACCCCAGCCACATTCAAGAGGCACAGATACCTTCATTTTCCAGGTGATCGCAGCTGGTTTCGGTTAAGTGACTCTTCCTGTTCAGCAGAGCAGCCTGGATCTGAAGCCCATCTCTAGGGTATCATCTCGGGCTCCTCCCCGCCCTCCAGGACGCTGCATCCCTTTCCAGGACAGAGTCACCTTCCTGGAGTCCCACTGTGACCATATCTGCTCACCTGCTCCATGGTCTTCGTCGCTTGTCAACAAGGTAAGAATCCTTGGTCTGAAAACCAAGGCTCTCCTATCTGCACTCCTTTCAGTGACCCTCCCCTCCAGAGGACACACATGTCAATGTCCCTCCTGCCTTGCACTGTCCCGCACCCCTGTCTTTGTTCCAGTTTTTCTTTCCATACAGTGGTGACTCCTGTCTGTTTGGGAGGAGCTTGAGGACAGCCATGTTTGTGTAGCCTTTTCTAGGGCAGGTGAGTTGTTGGACTCAAGGGGCAGATGTGGGTGTTCAGCTGAGGGCATTGCTGCCCTGTCACTCCCTTTCAGACCCTCTGTGTTGAAATTTGACCATTGGCCAAGACTCAGCCAGACTACCCCCATCACAATGCCCATCTCAGTGTCTGCCCCCTGCTCACCCTCCCCTCCAGTGGGCTTCACTCATAGTGCACACAACACCTTGCCTTATCCTACAGTATTTGTGGGTATAAACTCCCCTTCCAGACTGCAACAATGGGACGAGGTGCCCTGCCCCCTCTCAGATTGCTCAGGAGTGCCTTGCATTGGTTCAGACTGGACGAAAACAAAGCCACTGCTGTCTGCAGAGGAGGGCCACAGCAGTCTCTCTTATAAAATACTAGAGGCCCAGTGCCCAAAATTCGTGCACTTGGGGGTCCCTCAGCCCGACCTGTGCCCTCTTGCAGTCCGGGAGCCCTCAGGGGATGTCTGACTGATGGCTTAGGCCCTGGGAGCGGGCCTAAGCCATCAGTTGGACATCTTAGTGCTGCTGTGGAGGCGGGAGAGGCTCCCACCATCACTGCTGCGCTAGCCAGCTGGGAACCTGACTCAGGGCTTCTGGCTGAGCGGCGCTCCCCCTATGGGAGCTCACTGACCACCAGGGGGCAGCTCCTGCATTGAGTGCCTGCCCCCTGGTGGTCAGTGAGCATCATAGCAATTTGCATATTAGCCTTTTATTATATAGGATGGTGTCTAATAGCAAACTTGAGGTCAAGTGAGGCCAACCAATCAGGAGATGATTGCCATTGAAAAGATAGTTTATTACTCATTCCCCAGAGATGGAACAGGCCTCGCCATGGGGGCCACACGGGGAAGCACCAGGGTTGGTCAGAAGTGGGGGTGTGGGCAAGAGCCTTTATTGTGGTTTCCACAGAAGGAACAGGTGAGGCAGGATAGAGGGGTTAGGCTTAGGCTTAGGCTTAGGGTTAGCTACTCAGAATAACTTCAGCGGGCTCTGGGGCAGAAGGGTTGTCTGGTACCTGGTCCTCGGGTGGCTGGTGTCCTGGGGCATGAGCACCCAGTGAAGGAGGGGCTGGGGTGTGTGCTCTGGGTTGGTTTGCATTTGAAAAGCATGCTGGGCTGGCAAGTTGTTTACTATCCTAGGAATGATAACCCTGGTGGGGGGGAGGGGGCGGGTGAGGGCAGAGTCTCTCCAGAGTCATCAGAGCCCCAGATGTCAAAGCATCAGAATTCAGAAAATCAAGTGACTACAGTCCTAGACCGTCAGAACATCTCTCCTGTTACAGATGCTTGGGCTGAGCTGACCACAACCTCTATCGGCCTGTGGCTTCCTGGACCACGCCCTACAGCTGGATCGGTTGGGTTTGGTGAGAATGTCAGACAGAAGACTCGCATGGGGTAAACATGTCTGGCTCACAGCCCCTCCAGCGTCCTTCTGGGGAGCCCTGGGCCACCCTGTGCTGGGAAGCACCAGTGGGCTCCGGGGAAGGGGCTTTTATCATGGACCCGATGTCCTCCCTCAGTATGCACATCTGTCATGTTTTGGGGACAGTCTTTCCAGGTGGCCGGGCTTCAGGAGGAGGGGGCATTGTCCAGGAGGCAGTGGGTCCGAAGCCTTGGGGGCAGCGTGCATGCTGCTTGACCCCTTCCAGGCAGGAGACAAACCTCGCAGCAACAGGTACACCTTAGGCACTTTCTGATACAAGTCCTATGCGATGCGCGATGTTCATCCTCACAAGCAACCTGAGAGGCAGTGAGGGCACTTACTGCATTCCCAGGTGGGCCTGAAGCTCAGGCAGGTCTGCACTGGCCAGTGGGAGGTCCCACCAGGCCCGTAGGTCCCCACCCAGGGCGCTCTCACCACCCAGCCACCACGGAAGCAGAGAGGAGACCAAGAACAAGTCCAAATGCTCTGGTTTTCAGTGCAAAACACCCTCTGGCTCCAAAAGGAGGTAGCTTTGCAGGGTCGCCGGCAAGGGTAACAGAGGCACGAGGCGGGAGCACTGTTTGCCAAACCGTCTGCGAATGGCACAGCGGCAGAGGTGCAGCAGGCAGCGCGGGCTGCCGGCCAAGGCGAAGAGAGACTGGTAGAAAGGCCGGTGTGCCTGGCAAGGAAGGCGGGACGTCAGTGTGAGACAAGCGGACACACAGGAGCCACACCTGTGGACTCAGGTGCTGGACCCCCACCCTGGTCTGGACACCAGGTCCTTGAGCCCTGCCGTCCCTCTGGTCAGCGTGGGACTGCTCCTCCTGCTCCTTGTAGGACACCCCGACTGTAACAGGAGCTCCTGGCCGTGTGAGTGCTGAGCGCCCACAGGAAGGCAGAGGGACTCAGATGCACCCCCAGGTGGCTTCCGCTTTCCTTCTCCAGAGGTTTACACCCACCTGGAGATGAGAGCAGAACGCCTGGCCCGGCACAGAAACAGACGGCGATTCTGCACCGACACGGAAGGCAGGCGGCTCCCTCACCTGAAACACCTCCTCCGGAATCACCTCCCTCCAGGACTCGGACACGCGGAGCTGAGGGTAGGCGTTGAACAGTACCTCGATGACCGCAGGGGCTGGCGCACAGGTCTGCAGCACCTGTGGGAAGTGGGGAGGCCACGTTCAGGTTGACTGGGCTTGGGGTCCAAGTGCGGAAAGGGCAGGGAGATGGAGGTGTGTTTGCACCCCACGACTGTCTGTGTGACCCCACTGTCCTCAGTCCCTCTGGGAACAGGGGCGATCACAGTGGCAGCACAGCTGGGCAGGTGAAGGGCTGCAGGAGTGAGTTCACAGATAAGCACAAGGCCGAGCTGGGCAAGGGGCCCTGTCCCGCCATCGTGCAAATCTGGGCAAAGCGCTCAGCATCCCGGTTCAGGAGCAAGCACGGCAGGGGTGGGGTGG